AAAAAATCAACAATTTCACTTAAGAATATTTTATTCAACTATATTTTATTAAACCAAATGAAATCCAAATTTATATGAAATCCTTTTTTTAAAGCAAAAGTAAAGTGCAACATAGAGTGCAAGAAGCAAGTGTCCATCTCATAGTCCAAATCACTGAAATCAAAGTTCAGTATTATAGTGTAAGAATGACAACATATCCACGTGTTCTAGTCTACTAATAATACAATTATAATCAAAAAACACTTTTTAAAGGAGTATTTACCAGAAATTTTATTTACCAGAATTTATTTTGGAGAAAAATGTAAATGTGCAGTATTTCTGGGGGAAATATTTTTTTTTATTATTATTATAAAAAAAAAATTTAACATGCAAGTAATCTATGTACCAAAGAATGATTTTTACAAAAATACATCAATTAAGAATTTAGGATTAAGAATTACCATAAATTTTATTTTGCTAGTAAACAGCTTAGCTCTGTACAAAGGTGTACAGAGAATTTTAAGATGCATGTATGCTGCGTAACTCTTACATAGGTATATAGAAATTATTTTATTTTAACATGCTAGTAAGCTCTGTATGGAGTACAGAAATTGTTTTAATTTGTTTTACTTTAACATGCAAGTAAACAGCTTAACTGTGTACAAAGATATAGCAGTTATTTTATTTTAACATGCACGTAGCAAGTACGTACCAATGAAAAATTTGGACATAAGTTACATTTACATTAATGCATTTGGCAGATGCTTTTATCCAAAGTGACTTGCATTGCATTCAAGGTATACAGTTTATTAGTTCATGCATTTCCTGGGAATCGAACCCATGATCTTGGCCTTGTTGGTGCCTGAGCATATTTGTGTCTTTCGATCAGGAATGACTGGTATCCTCATGTGTGCCGCCGGGCTCCCCGTGTGTTTGACTCGGGCCCCTAAACCGATCCTCCATCCACCGTCGGTCAGCAAGAGTGACCTGAAACCCGTGCCAGGAATCAACAGCATCCGACGCAAGACTAAGAAAAAGCACCTCCGCAAAGGTGAGTGTCTGTCTATGTGTGTGTGTGTGTGTGTGTGTGTGTGTGTATGTTTGTGTGTGTGTTTGTGTGTGTTTGTTTGTGTGTGTG